CTATTGGGCTATAGGGTTGTTGGGCTGTAGAGCTATGGGGCTATAGGGCTACAGGGCTATAGGATCAGAGGGCTATAGAGCTAAAGGGCTAGATGGATATAGGGATATAGGGCTATTGGGCTATAGTCCTATAGGGCTATACGGCTATAGGGCAATAGGGCTACAGGGCTATAGGGCGATAGGGCACCCCCAGGCACCCCGGCACCCGGGCACCGGGCACCCAGGCACCCAGGCACCGGGCACCCGGGCACCCGGGCACCCGGGCACCCGGCCCGGCCGCATGGGGCCGGAATCTTGCCGAAGCTCATCGAACCTTTTAATCCGCCAGGACCCTTACAGAGGCAAGCTCTGATTGGGTACTAACCCATGGCAACCGCCGCTACCTTCGTCGCCGCGATCGCCGCCGTCTTCATCGCCGCCGTCGTCGACGTCCTCGGGTTCTGTTCGGGCACCCTCTGGCCATCTCGTGGGGCACGCTGGGGGATTATCAGAGGCATTCGTAAGTATTCTGAGGGGCCCCGCGACTTCCCCCAGAGACTCTAACTACAGAAACTCCTTTCGTATTCCGGCCAGAAGCATCCAGAAACGATGTACATTAGCCCTGGCGGGGGGAATGATGGCGATGGTGATGTTCATGATGACGACGGTGACGATCCTAGCTAGAACCTAAGCGCGCGCGAAGCGCGCGCGTGGTTCTAGTATATATATATATATATATATATATATATATATATTATATATATATATATGCATATCCCATAGGACGCGGCCAAGAGCTCCATAATCGATGCCCCGACCTTGCATGGCGGGACCGGCGCCCTCTGGAAAAGTCCTGGGGTCGTCCGGGAGTCTTGGGGCTATCTGGGAGTAGCGTGGGGCTCCAGGGAGCGCCAGACCCCATGGCCACAAAAGGGGCTCTCGAGAAGAGGCTCCCACGGGGGAGGCCCCCAGCGGCTCCCGACGGGCAAACTATGTTGTGATTCCGAAGGTCTTTCGAGGATATCAGTTTTCTCGCCGTTTTTTTTTTTGTTTTTTTTGCGGGAGCCCCCACGGCGGCCCCATAGGCCCGCGAGATTGTTTCCCCCCCCCCCCGTCGGGGTCCCAGGCAGAAGCCCCGTGGGCAGCCGACAGGCAGCACATGTTATTCAAAGATTTCCGATTCTTCGCCCTACTCTTTGCAGGAGCGTCTGCGAAGGCACAAGATGCCCAGATACAGTGGAGACCCATGCCAAGAAACACCCTGCTTGCCTCCAGGGTGCCCTGGGTTTCTTGGTTTTCGATGGTTTTGGTATGGAAAGCGTGACGTTCCCACACCAAAAATCAAAGGACGTTCTGGGGTCTCAGGGTTGGGTTTCTTGTGGAAGGTTTCTTGTGGACTGGCCTCCGCTATCGACCCCAGACGATCTACTAGGAACCAGGGCCCCGCGAGGCTCTCCAGCAGGCCCAACAGAGCCCCCAAAGGGCCTATGAAGGCCAAGAGGGAAAGTTATGAGTGGCGTAGACAACGGGTTCACACACGCGGAACGAGGTCACCCCTTCCAGTAGTCACCTGGATCTTGCTGCGGCGAGCGTGTTTCTTCCTAGCTTGGGGCATAATGGGCATTATAGCCCCTGGCGCCCCCCCTGCCCCCTATGACGTAACGCCCCCCCACCCCCCCCAGTGCGCCCTGGGCGCTGCCGCCGTGTGCACTGGGATCCGCATAAGCGTCCGCATAAGAATCCGCATAGGGGTCTGGTCCGTAGTCGTTGTCGTCGTCGTCGTCGTCGTCGTCGTCGTCGTCGTCGTCGTCGTGGTCGTCGTGGTCGTCGTGGTCGTCGTCATTGTCGCTCGTCGTTCATCGCTCGTCGCTCATCGCTCATCGTCGTCGTGCGCGCGGACCCGGCTGGAGCCTGTTTTTCCCTACCTAGGCTCTGCCTAGAAGGGTTCTTACTCTCTTAGCTTAAAGGGCCGGGCAGTGTAAAGCGCCCCGGGCGGTTCCCCCAGTCCCTGCCCCGCGGTTCCCCCAGTTCCCTGGGAGCTTTAGCTTTAGCTTTAGCTTTCGCTTTCGCTTTAGCTTAGCTTTAGCTTAGCTTTAGCTTAGCGTTAGCCTAGCTTTAGCTTATCTTGAGCTTAGCTTTAGCTCTAGTTTTAGCTTTAGCTTAGCTTTAGCTTAGCTTTAGCTTAGCTTTAGCTTAGCTTTAGCTTAGCTTTAGCTTAGCTTTAGCTTAGCTTCAGCGTAGCTTTAGCTTAGCTTAGCTTTAGCTTAGCTTTAGCTTAGCTTTAGCTTTGCTTTAGCTTAGCTTTAGCTTAGCTTTAGCTTAGCTTGAGCTTAGCTTCAGCTTAGCTTCAGCTTAGCTTTAGCTTAGCTTTATTTTAGCTTCAGCTTAGCTTCAGCTTAGCTTCAGCTTAGCTTTAGCTTAGCTTTAGTTTACCTTTAGCTTAGCTTCAGCTTAGCTTTAGCTTCAGCTTAGCTTGAGCTTAGCTTGAGCTTAGCTTTAGCTTAGCTTTAGCTTAGCTTCAGCGTAGCTTTAGCTTAGCTTCACTGTTACTACCAATGCTGCTTTCCTAGGGGCTCCAACTCCTAGGTAGGGTCGCACTGGGATATTTTTTTCCGGGCCGATGACGGCCGTCATTTGAGGGGGGGGGGGGAGGGGGCCGATGACGTCACGTTTCGCGCTGGCGGATTCTGGGAATACCTAGGAATGACCGAGGACGGGTAGCAGTAGCACGTAGGTGGCGATCTGCACCACAGCGCCTGTGTACACCACGTTGTGTACACCACCGCGCCTGTGTACACCACATCAGCCGTGTATAACACAACACCAGTGTACACCACAATGCCTGCGTGCACTACAGCGCCTGTGTACACCACGGCGCCTGCGTGCTCCGCAGCAACCGTTTGCGACAGAACGCCACTGTTGCATATAGAGTAGTCGAAGGAATCCGAGTGACAAAATGGAGCGCCAGTGGATTCCACAGAAAACAATAATTATCCCAGTGCGACCCTACCTAGGAGTTGGAGCCCCTAGGAAAGCAGCATTAGTAGTAACAGTAAAGCTAAGCTGAAGCTAAGCTAAAGCTAAGCTAAAGCTAAACTAAAGCTAAGCTAAAGTTACGCTAGAGCTACGCTGCAGCTAAGCTAACGTTAAGCTAAAGCTAAGCTGAAGCTAAGCTAAAGCTAAGCTGAAGCTAAGTTAAAGCTAAGCTAAAGCTGAGGTGAAGCTAAGCTCAAGCTAAGCTAAAGCTAAGGTACAGCTAAGCTAAAACTACAGCTAAAGCTAAGCTCAAGCTAAGCTAAAGCTAAGCTAAAGCTAAGCTAACGCTGGGCTAAAGCTAATCTAAAGTTAAGCTAAAGCTAAGCCTAAGCTAAAGCTAAAGCTAAAACTAAAGCTAACGCTAAAGCTAAGCCGAAGCTACAGCTAAAGCTAAGCTAAAGCTAACATAACGCTAACATAAAGCTAAGCTAAAGCTAAGCTAAAGCTAAGCTAAAGCTAAGCTAAAGCTAAGCTAAAGCTAAGCTAAAGCTACAGCTAAATCTAAATATAAATCTACATCTAAAGCTAAGCTAACGCTAAGCTAAGCTAGGCTAGACATAGCTAAGAAAATATGATATAAGCTAAGCTAAGCTAAGCTAAGCTAAGATGAGATAAGCTAAGCTAAGCTAAGCTAAGCCAGGCTGAGCTAAGCTAAGCTAATATGGGGTAAGTTAAGTTAAGCTAAGCTAAGCTAAGCGTAGTTAAGCTAAGCTGGGTGAACCCAGGGGGCGCGACTGGGGGAACCGCGGGGCGGGGACTGGGGGAACCGCCCGGGGCGCCCCGGCGCTTTAAGCTAGAGAGTAAGAACCCTTCTAGGCAGAGCCTAGGTAGGGAATGTCCATATAGGATTTGGAAAGGAATCCTTATTGGAAATGAAGCGCCGCTGGAAGCTACATGTCCTCCCGAGTCCTCCCGCATCATCATAATTCCTGCCATCTGCGTCCAGGAGGCTCCAGCAGAATTGGCCGTCCGAGAACCAAGCGGATTGATTAAATAGACTATTCTGCGGTTCGCGCTGAAATGCGCACGTTCAATGTAGCGCCGACCCGCACGACAGGGGGAAAGGTGAGCGAGCACGAGGAGGAGGAGGAGGAGGAGGAGGAGGAGGAGCAGGAGGAGGAGGAGGAGGAGGAAAAGGGAGTGGAGGTGGATGTGGAGGAGGAAGGAAAAGGGAATAACGCTGCATTCTATTATCAGCACTTCCCTGGCGTGGTGTTCAATTGTCCGCATCAGATCCTCACCTACATGCTTCTTCTACCTGTCCAGTGCACGCAGGCGCTGCGGTGTACAGTAGTGCTGCGTTGCACGCGGATGCTGTGGTGTAGACAGGCGCTGCGGTGTACGCAAGCATTTTGGTGTACACAGGCGCTGTGTTGCACATTGTTGCTGCGGTGTACAGATTCGCCGTGGTGTATACCTGCGCTGTGGTGCACGCGAGTATTGTGGTGTACACAAGCGCTGCGTTGCGCACGGCTGTCGCGGTGTATGCAGGCGCTGTGGTGTACACGCTCGCTGTGGTGCACGCGAGCATTGTGGTGTACACAGGAGCTGTGGGGCAGACGTGCTGCTCCTAGTTGGCCCCGGTCGTCCCTAGGCATTCCTGGACGCCGCCGGCGCGGAACGTGACGTCATCTGGGGGGGGGGGGGGGGGCGGGGCCGATGACGGCCGTTATCCCGGTCAACAAAGAAACGGCTCTTGTGGTGCCGGAGGCGCACGGCGGGGGGGGGGCGTTACATTGTACCCCCCCGCCCCCCCCCTTGTAACGCCCATTTTCGCAGAAAATGTAGACACGCGCTCCAGTGATGGTGGGGGCTCAGAGCAAGGATCCCCGTCAGGACGCACGGGGCGGATCAAGGGAAAACAGTAGTTGCAGTAGTTGTCAAGGATCAGGGTTCGAGAGTGTCGGCGCCGTCTCGGCCCTCATACTCCTCGTGCTCTCATCCGTTCCTGATCCTGGCTGTGCGCGTGGCTTTTGGGGCTCGAGTCGCCTAGGCTCCTCCAGCTCCGCGGGCGTGCCCCTGGCGCCTTGCCAGCTGCCAGAAGCCGCCTCTCCAACATGATGTGCGCGCCTCTCTTCGCCAAGGCCCCCACGAATCGTGAGACCTTCCGCGGAGGCTGGACTGCGCCAGCGGTCCCTGGGAGCGAGCGCGACGAGGTGTCTTCTTCTTCTTCTTCTTCCTCCTCCTCCTCCTCCTCTCCCTCCTCCTCCTCCTCCTCCTCCTCCTCCTCCTCCTCCACCGTAGCCATTTTGGCTCTGTGGCCGCTTGCCCGTGGCAGAGCACGGATACGCGAGTCCGCGGCAGGCAAGGCTGTTCAGCGTGGCGCTCCTCCTCTGCCTTCGCTGCGGGATCTGGGCGCCCGCACACTCGAGCCTTTACTGCAAGGCTGGGCTCCCGCCTCCAGTTTGTTTCCTTTTGTTCCCAACCATCCTGCGGTGTTGGGTCCTCGTTTTGAAGAGAAAGCGCCCCGCCTTCCTTCCTTCCTTCCTTCCTTCCTTCTTTCCTTCCTTCTTTCCTTCCTTCCTTCCTTCCTCCTCCCCCTCCTCCCTCCTCCCCCTCCTTGCCTTTGCCCTCCTCGTCGCCACCGTCATCGTCATCATCATCGTCATCATCATCAGCATCATCATCGTCATCATCATCATCATCATCATCATCATAATCATCATTATCATAATCATCATCATCATCATCATCATCATCATCATCATCATCATCATCATCATCATCATCATCATCATCATGATCATTATCACCATCGTCATCATTATAATTATTGTTATTGGTGTTATTATCAATATTTTCATTCGTATTACTATTATCGTCATCGTGGCCCCATAGAGAGCTCCACCTAATGCCCCAGTGGCGGTGTCCACATGCGTCTCCCCCACCCAGCACAGCGTCTCGTGGCCCCGTACGGAGCCCCACCTCAGGCCCCAGTGGCGGTGTTCGCATGCGTCTCCCCCACCGAGCACAGCGTTTCGTGGCCCCGTACGGAGCTCCACCTGAGGCCCCAGTGGCAGTGTTCGCATGCGTCTCCCCCGCCCAGTACACCGTTGCGCGGCCCCATAGGGAGCCCCACCTAAGGCCCCAGTGGCGGTGTTCGCATGCGTCTCGCCCACCCAGCGCAGCGTCTCGTGGCCCCATAGGGAGCTCCACCTAAGACCCCAGTGGCGGTGTTCGCATGCGTCTCGCCCACCCAAGACAGCGCTTCGCGGCCCCATACGGAGCTCCACCTCAGGCCCCAATGGCGGTGCCGCATGCGTCTCCCCCGCCCAGCACAGCGTCTCGTGACCCCATCGGGAGCTCCGCCTAAGACCCCAGTGGCGGTGTTCGCATGCGTCTCCCCCGCCCAGCACAGCGTTTCGCGGCCCCGTCGGGAGCTCCACTTGAGGCCCCAGTGGCAGTGTTCGCATGCGTCTCCCCTGCCCAGCACAGCGTTCCGTGGCCCCGTAGGGAGCTCCACCTACGGCCCCAGTGGCGGTGTTCGCATGCGTCTCCATCCAGTACAACGTTTGGTTGCCCCATAGAGAGCTCCATCTTAAGCCCCCCCCGCGGTGTTCGCATCCGCCTCTCCCACCCAGCACAGCGTCTCGTGGCCCCATACGGAGCTCCACCTAAGGCCCCAGTGGTGGTGTTCGCATGCGTATCCTCCACCCAACACAGCGCTTCGTGGCCCCAGAGGGAACTCGCTCTACCTACGGCCCCGCTGGCTGCACTTGCATGCGTCTCCCCCTCCCAGGACAGCGCTTCGTGGCCCCATGGGGAGCTCCACCGAACGCCCCAATGGCTGCACTCACATGCTGTTCCCCCGCCCAGGACAGCATGTCGTGGCCCCATCGGGACCTACACCGAATGCGTTGCCCACGAAGGCGGTATTCACAGCTGCATATGGTGGGGTCTTTCGCCAGGCTAATTCTTCACAGGCTGTCCCCCCAGCAGCAAGAAGATATTGACACCCGAAGATTCCACCATGGCTGGTACGCCTGGAGCAGATGAAGGCACTCCTCGAAGATCACAGTAATGCTCTCCTGGAACGCATGCGGAACGACTTCGCCATCATCGAGAAGCGTGTCGCGCAGAAGGTCGAATAGCAGGACCGTGCCATATTTGCTTTTCGTCAAGACGTGGTCTTTATCAAAAAGGAAGCTCAGCTTGGCAGCGCTGCGTCAGTGGCTTCAGGCCCTACCAGGGCGACATCTGACGGCAGCCGTCAGAAAGTAGCCCGATTCAATCCTGACCAGCAATATGACGTTTGATCCAACCAAACGCTATGTGTCAGGATTTCCACAGCTGCTGCGTGAACCAGAAGGAAACAACATGTTCAGAGCATCAGCGGCGATTTCCCTGAACATGACGTGAACACGCGGATCACCTACCACAAATTCAGCCAGGTGCGCACGTTTCAACTCAAGGGCGAGACTATCCCCTCTCGCTCATTACAGACGCGAGCCAACGAACATGGATGTCAGCGGTGCAGTCAGCGCGACAACAACTTGCGCCCTTTTCGCGTTCGAGGCGACGCTCCACCTCTCGCCCGACAGTGCAAGCGGGCATTTTGAAGCATGTGGCAGTTGATTCATGATCGTCCCAGCAAGCATCATAACTGGTCTCGGGACTCGCAGCTTGGTGTCAACGGTGGGGAAGGTATTCTTCAGATTGCCAACGCCCGCGGGTGTTGGGAGCTCGTCCGTGCCAGACAGATCGGGGAAGAGACCTTCATTTTCGAGCCCATCCAGGCCAATCGTGACAGGTGGTGCTTTCCCGCCGGCGACATGGGAACGATTTTTGACCATCTCAAGCATTGACGTGAGGCCCCGGGCGCCAGTGATGCATGCCACTCCTTCTCTCCATCTGTGCATCCGTTTGCGGCCGCTGCCTCTATGAAGTGTCTACCTTTCAGGATTCCCCCGCCTCCTCCCCCCCTCCTGATCCCGAGTCCCCAGGGCGCAAGTTTTGTCCGGGCGCGTGGTGTCGCATCTTGGAGTCGTCGGGCTTCGAGCGGTCGTTTACACAGTAACCAGCATACTTTTCGTATATAATTGAAGTGTGATGTTGTGTGTATCCGGGAAAGCCACCGTACCCCAAAAGACCTCGAATATCTTCGCCTCGATGTTCCACGTCGCTGCGTGCGCGGAAGTTTCACAGACAATGCAAATGCGGGCGGTCTGCTTATATTATTCTCCCAGTCCTTCAAGCAGCAGTTTGGCGCGATTGAAATCGTTCCTATTGTGCAAGGGCGAGTTTCACTATGGAAGCTCCGCGGCATCTGTGGGAACTTCCCGATTGTGAGCGCTCGTCTTTTCCCTGATGTCAGCAATGGCCAGATTTGACAGTTCCTCTTTAAGATCCGCTCCGTCTTCGTTCGCAATATGCCCGCCCGCTGATCGCCGGTGACCAGATTTTTCTGAGGAAGGTGAATCTCGCCTGGGCGCCGCGACAGGTGGGGGGCGCATTCCCAGCTACATTGAGTTCCCAGCTTTTCGTGAATAGCTCCCAGGATATGGCCGAAATTGCCCGGGATGGTTTCGCTCATAGACAAGAACCAGCCACCTGTATGCATTGCAGCCGCGTCGATCGTATTTGCTCTATCCTCGCTTCTACAGATTTGTGCTATGCAGTTTGCACTGGCGTTGCTAGGCAATTACATGATAGTGCTGCTGCCGGCGACCGCGTCCCTGTCGCTTGCTCGTTTCGCATGCATGTCCTCGGCGCAAGCGCTGTCGTACCTGACTGGGCCGCAGCGCGCGGCGGGTTTCCCATATTTTTCGAGGGGGTGTATCATGGCATCGTGCGTGGCAGTTCACCGGGAGTTGCGGCGAACGGAGTCGAGGACTCTACGAGAGCTGCCGCGCGCCGCGCGCGCCGTCACATCTTCGAGCATATAGCACGCGCCTTGCGTGAACAGGTCGCGTGCTGTGTCGAGCTTGGGCGTTGCCATCGTTCTCTCTTGCCTTCTCCCGGTCTTCATTCGTGCTATCGTCGTGTCGAGCAAGTTCCCCATGCGTGGCCCGCGCTCTCTGACTGGTGCGACGTCAACCTTGGTTGGGCGAGTTGGCCCGCATTTCGCGCGCAGCAACTTCGGCTCGCGCAGAGAGGTCTCGCGCGGGAGAAAGCGCTGTTTGAAGGAACTGTCGCCCGCGAGGCCGACCAGCAGGCGCAAAGATTGAGGAGCGCGGCCCGTGCGCTGCAGCTCGAGCGTGGGAAATGGCCCCTGCAGGCTGTCGCCGCTCCCGATGGCGCCGTCGACCCCGACCCGAACGTTTCCGCTGGGCACCTCGCGGGGGCCGTTGCGGCTCTGTTCTCAGGGGGGGGGTTCCAGGCGGGCCCGAGTTCGTCGGTTATTTCCTCCAGTTTGTCGAGCCGGCAGAGTGCGACCACCGCCAGCGCACAAGAAATACTAACCCACGGTATCCTTGGAAACGCACGTTCGGCGAAGCCATAGGATGTCTTAGGACTCGCCGAGGTAGCGGCCCCGGGCCTGTCGGGCGCCCCCTACTCAGCGTGGCGCGTCGTGTCGATGGAAGCCAAACGGCCGCTTTCCATATTGTATGAAGACGTCCAGGATGGAGGCGACTGCCGCCTGAATTCAACCATTCGCCAGTGGTTCCCCTGGCTAAAGGCGAGGCCGCTGGATGTCGGGAGCTGGCGTCGCGCGCTGCTCCCTGCGCGCGTCCTCTCTTGCAGAGCAGCACTGGCCCCCCTGCCTGCCCCGCCGCAGGCAGCGGCGGACATATGGTTCGCGGACAGCAGATGGATCGCAGTGTCATCAAGTAGACGCCCACTTATTCGTCTGGGGTGCTTTGCTGGACACGCGTGACATTGGGCCGCCTTTTCTGACGTGGATGCAGCGTTCCTTAGCGCGCGCCATGCATGGATTCGGAGGGTATTCGACCGGGTCGTTTTACCAGATCATGTACGTCGGCCATTCTAGTTGTTGTTGGCCGAAGACTGATCCTTGGAAAATCAAGTTTCGTAATCTTAGTGTGCATGTGATCATCTCTCTAGGCCGAGGTGTGGAATAAGAGTGTCCCCCCTCTGGGCTCGTCCTCGCGTTCATCGTTGGTCCTCTCCTCGAGGCCGTCGACACTACTCAGGGCGTCCCTCGCGCCGTGCATCGTGCTTTCGCTGATGATATTGCCGCCGTGCCACAAGATCTCTTTCCCCCCTCTCCCCCCTTCGCCATCGACCTCTTCGCGCAAGCTGGATATTGTATGGGGCTCGTCATAAAACTGGACAATTTCAATCGTTGTTTCTCTCTTTCTCCTGTCGCTGTCTATGCTGCCGAGCGGTTTCAGCGGCGTGGCTTGCGAGCGCGCCGGTTCAAGATCGCTGACTTTGCCAAGTACCTATGCGTCGCTATCGGCATCGGCGGTGATGAAGCGCCCTGGAGGCAGACCGCGTCGACATTTACATGTAGGGGCCTGCGCGGTAAAATGATGAATTCAAGTTTGATCATGAGTTTTGGTGCCCGCGACAGATATGCGCTCTCTACAGCGGGATTTGTCTCCCGATTCCGTGTCCCCAACATCCAGAACTTGCAGGTAGAAAAATAATATTTGCATAGATGCCCGTGTGCACCTCGTCATTCGCTGCCGCGCGAGTTCTTTTCGTGCCGAGGAGCTTGGGCTGTCCGCTCAGGCGAGGCGCGTTGCTCACATTGCTCGTGCTAGCACTTTGAGGACTGCCGCTAGGTCGGGCGCCTTCATCGAGATGAGGGCCCAAATGCAGTCTACCATTGGCTCTGCCGATTGCGTTGTAGCGTGTCCGTTCCTCCCTGGCGCCAGGGAGAGCATCGTCTATCAGACGCTGATGATTGTCGAGTCGTCGTCGCATTTCATCGGCCTCCTCTCGGACATTAGCAGGGAGCATATCCATGGGTGGTTCATGGGCAGGATTTCAAGGAACGCGGCCGTCTCTAGCGCCTGGCTGGCTTTCAAACCCAGGATTTCGAAACGGGATCCTGGCGTCACCGACCAAAGCCTGCTTTTACTTTTTGTCCGTCGGTGTCGTTTTGCGACTCGGCTGCCTGATTCCATGCCAGTGCAAATATTATTTGCACTTCGTGGAACAGCAGCGCCCGATATAGACAGTCCACCTCTCGTTGTGGTTTCGTTTGCGCTGACATCGGTTGCGGTTCACAAACCCACTATCTGCCCTGTCCTGCAATAGTGCTGTATGGGAAATCGTTACTTACAAACTTGCCCGAATCATGTGGCTCTGATCCGCTCAGCAGTTTTCTTTCTTATAGTTCCATTTTGCCATGTTCTAGTTCACTCGCCCACCGCACTTTTGCTTTAGATTTTGCCCATGCTGCCTTCCAGATTCTTCGGCCCTCTCCCATCTCGTCATTTTAGTTCGCCAGACAAGTAATTTAAAGTCGTCCGAAACACAGCGTTCAACGGCATCCTCCTCTCAGGAGCACCCTGACGTAGCTGATCGCCGAGGTTGGCATTAGTACCAGGATTTGCCATTGGGGTGCCTCCCCCACCTGCTCCTCCCACTTGCTGTTGCTGCTGTTGCTAATCCTCCTCCTCCTCCTCCTCCTCTCTCCTCTTACCTCTTCCTTTTCATTGCCTCCTCTTCCTCCCTATCCTCACTCCTCCTCCTCCTCTTCCATTTTATCTCCTTCCCCTCGTCCTTGTCGTCGACTTCCTCCTCTTCCTCTTCTTCCTCCTCCTCCATTCTTTTCCTTATCAAGAATTTTTGTCGCACCCCGAGTCCAGTCAGAAGGATGGGCCGGACGTTTCGCCTGAGACATCACTTTCATTGATGACCCTGGAACTTCAAAATTGGCAATTGCTTAGCAGATGGGGGGCGGGCCGGGACTTTGTTGAACGTGTCATTCTCGCCTTTGCGCCGCGCGCATTCGTTTTAAAAAGTACTGGAGCTTCACGGATTGAGGACAGGATTAATTTGTGCGATCTTCACGGATGGGGGGAGTGTTTTTTCAAAATGTGGTTCTCGCTTCAGCGCCGCGCGTATTCGTTGTGAACACTTGCAACCGTTTCCCAGGTTCTCATGGTTAGCGTGCCAGAAAGGGCAGTTCGTAGCGATGTCTAACTGTCAGGGTGCAACCGTTGCGTTGGATTCGTCGTCTTGAGTCCCATAACAGGTGTTCTAGCACGATTCAGGATCGTCAGGACGCTGCAGTAAGGTTGATTCGTGGCGTTGAATGCTCAAGAACGTTGCTCTGGCACAGGTCATGATTTTCAAACGGTTGATTCCCAACTGGGCATTTCTCCCAGTGAAAATGAATTCTCCAAGGGGCCTATGGAGAGGGAGTTTGGAGAGCGATGGTTTATTTCAACATCGTTAATGAACCTTGGGTTTGCAGTGGTCCTCCTCCCCTTTCTCCTCCTCCGCCTCGTCCTCCTCCTCCTCCTCCTCCTCCTCCTGCTGCTCCTCGTCCTCCTCCTCCTCCCTCCTCCTCCCTCCTCCTCCTCCTCCTCCTCTCCTCCTCCTCCTCCTCCTCCTCCACCTCCTCCTCCTCCTCCTCCTCCTCCTCTCCTCCTCATCCTCCTCATCCTCCTCATCCTCCTCCTCCTCCTCCTCTTCCTCTTCCTCTTCCCTCTCTACCATCTTCTATCCTCTTCCATCCTCCTAGTCGTTGCCCTCCTTCTCCCGCCCCCACCGCCGCCGCGCACTCATAGGGCCCAATCTGGGACTGGGCCCTGGTGGGCATCGGCCCCTGGCCAGTGCAAGGAGGCCTCGCCCTGAATAGCATGGGCCAGGGTACGCGCTCGCGAAGGCCCCTTGGTGTCGGGGGCTCCGGAACGGTGCAGAGACCACACCGTGTGGCGAGTCGGTGGGGATTCAGGGTGACCGCGCGGTTTGGGGATCTGGGTCGATCTCCGAGGATGTTTCGGGCTTCCAGGGTACCAAGACGGCGCGGTTTCGGACTGCGTGGTGAGATCTTTTGGGATCTCGGGGTCTCCGCAGGGCCCATCACCGCACCGCCTTGGGACCACCAGTGGCCAGTGGTGGCGGATGGAGTCCTCCCTTTCCTGGTCGCTTCTCTTGGCCCTGCGGCCCGATAGCCGGCCACCGAGGCCGAAACCGAGGCAAAGGCGCGGGGATTGAGCAACCCACGTCTTCGGAGTCTGCCAGGATACGCCTCCCCGAGGCGCCCGACGGTACCTGCAAGGGGCGCTCCCCCCGGGCAGCCCTGGGCTCCCCCTGGGCAGACGGTCCCTGGCCCCCCCCCGGTGGTGGCGGATGGCGTCTTCCCTTGCCCGGAGGTGGCTCCGGTGCCCGAACCCCGCCCGCTGCTCTTCAAGACGAAGCTCTGCAGCTTCTTCGCGGCCGGCGCGTGCGAGAGGGGCGCCGAGTGCAGGTTCGCCCACGGCCCGGGCGAGCTCGCGGAGCGTCCGGACTTCTCGAGGACGCGGCTCTGCCCCACGCCTGCACTGGTTCACCGCGCCTGCGCGGCGCCCCCGGACGGGCGCCAACCGAGCTTCGGATCGATCCTGGCCAGGTCCATCCTGGGCCTGGGGCCCCCTCTTTCGACGCGATCGAAGGGGGTACGGGAAGAGTGGGGACGATGACCAACATCAGTTCCTGTCCGTTTTGAGCAGGACTCGCTGTGCTGTCTGTCTCGCCGCAGGCATTGCCCATTTGAGACGACGGCTCTTACGCACGGTTTCTTCCGTCGCGCAGTTGGGCGACTGGAGAGAACGGGGACGACTGCGCCAACATTTGCGCGTAAGCTTCCCGCGTAAGGCTGTGCGTGAGCGCCTCCTTGTCCACGCGGTGTGCCGCGCTGGCGCCCCGCACCAGCCTGGGCGCGAGGCCTGTCCAAGCCTTCTCGCATGAGGCCGTTTCTCTTCTCGTCGCTCAACGGAACCTCGCACCGACCCCGCCTTCGCCCAGGCAGGAACGCATGCGCTGGTCTAGGGCCCAGGGTGGGCCTGGCCAGGATTGGTGCACCTCCTCCTGCGGCGCCGCATTCTTTTTTTTTTGTTTGCGACGTGACCCCCTCCCCGGGATCTCGACAGTTTTCCGGGGGCCGTTTTGCTTACCCAGGCCGTTTTCGGACGGCCCAGAGTCGGGATAACGGTCTCGCAGAGGCCGACAAAAACGAGGAAACAACATTGGCGTCGCGATTTTCCCAGACATCCGAGGATACGTTTGTTCCAATGCGCGGCCCCGGAGGTCCCGGCCCCTTCCCGCGGGTGGCTTTTCGCCCTGCATCCATTCTGGATGGCCCCGGGCCCCCACGAAGGGCCCTTGGCAGGGCTCGTTTCGATTCCTCCGATTCGATTCTATTCGACTTCGATGGTTTCCGACTTCGATCCGATTCGATTTGGGATTCCGACTTGGGCTCCGTTGTCTTGTTGGAGGCATATTGGCCTCTCGATTTCCGCCGATCCGACTTTCCCCGACTCGGCTGCCGATTTCCGCCTCTCCGATCCATTTCGATCGCCGATCCGACTCATCGACTCGATTCTGGGGCCGTCTGCCCTTGTGCCGACATCGACGAAAAACGTGGCGATTTGGGAGTATATAGCGTGTCGCGCCGCTGGTCCTGGCCCAACACGTCTGGGTTCAACACGCTCCGCTTCTTGCAAGGCGCAGCGTGTCGCCGGGGCCGCCGCGGCGGTGGTCGGGTGTAGGGGGGAAGTACGTAGGGGAGAGGAAGGGGAGGGAGGGGTGGCAGGAGGAGCAGGAGGAGGAGGAGGTGGAGGAGGAGGAGGAGGAGGAGGTGGAGAGGAGGAGGAGGAGGGGAGGCGGAGGAGGAGGAGGAGGAGGAGGAGAGGAGAGGGAGGAGGACGAGGAGGAGACTGACGAGGACGAGGACGATGCGGAGGAGGACGAGGACGAGGACGAGGACGAGGACGAGAGAAGGCGGAGGAGGAGGAGGAGGAGGAGGAGAGGAGGAGGAGGAGGAGGAGGAGAGGAGGAGGAGGAGTTGGACGAGGAGGAGGAGGGGAGGAGGAGGAAGAGGAGGCGGAAGCGGAGGAGAGGAGAGGAGGAGGAGGAGGAGGAGGAGGAGGGAGAGGAGGAGGAGGAGGAGGAGGGGAGGAGAGGAGGAGAGAGGAGGAGGAGAGGAGGTAGGAGGAGGAGAGGAGAGGAGGAGGAGAGAGGAGGAGGGAGTGGAGGATGAGGGGAAGGAGGAGGAGGAGGAAGGATGGAGAGGAGGAGGAGGAGGAGGAGGAGGAGGAGGAGGAGGGGGAGGGGGAGGAAGTTCCTGGCCGCATCATCGGAGATCGGAACTCTTCGGCAGCCCCAGCGCCCGCAGCAGGCCCCGCACTGCGCCTTCGCGCACGGCCCGCACGAGCTCCTGCCGTGCCTGGCCAAGCGCGCGACGGCGCCCCCTGGCGGGGCGGAGCCTCCCGCAGCGCCGGTCCCGCGCAGGTCACCAGCCTCGAACCCGTCTTGTGTCGGGCCTGTACCTCTACAGGAGGAATTTCAAAAATAGTAGAAAAATAGTCAGGCGATGATTTTTTCGAGTATGTTTGATCATTTTCGAACATTGTTCCCAACCATCCTGTGGTGTTGGGTCCTCGTTTTGAAGAGACGGTGCCCCGCGTTCCCGCCTCCTCCCTCCTCCCCCTCTTCCCTGCGTTTCACCCACCCAGTACAGCGTTTCGGGCGCCCCATAGGAGCTCCGCCGAAGGCCCCAGTGCTGCCGCCCGCATGCGTCACCCACACCCAATTCGGCACACCCCTCACACGTTTCGTGGCCCCATAGGAGCTCCGCCGAAGGCCCCAGTGCTGCCGCCCGCATGCGTCACCCACACCCAATTCGGCACACCCCTCACACGTTTCGTGGCCCCATAGGAGCTCCGCCGAAGGCCCCAGTGCTGCCGCCCGCATGCGTCACCCACACCCGATTCGGCACACCCCTCACACGTTTCGTGGCCCCAAAGGAGCTCCGCCGAAGGCCCCAGTGCTGCCGCCCGCATGCGTCACCCACACCCAATTCGGCACACCCCTGACACGTTCGTGGCCCTAGGGAGCTCCGCCGAGGCCCCAGTGCTGCCGCCCGCATGCGTACCCACACCCTATTTGGCCACCCCTGACGCGTTCCCCATAGGAGCTCCGCCGAAGGCCCCAGTGCTGCCGCCCGCATGCGTCACCCCACCCAATTTGGCACACCCCTCACACGCTTCGTGGCCCCATGGGAGCTCCGCCGAAGGCCCCAGTGCTGCCGCCCGCATGCGTCACCCACACACAATTCGGCACACCCCTCACACGTTTCGTGGCCCCATAGGGAGCTCCGTCGAAGGCCCCAGTGCTGCCGCCCGCATGCGTCACCCACACCCAATCCCACCAGCCCTCTGGGCGTCGGTGGTTTAACGAGTTTCCTCTTCCACCCCTCCCTCTTCCCCTTCGGGGAGGGGTTTACCCCTCCCCATACCCCCTCCCCACTGACCTGGACAGGGGGTTCCGCGGCGCGTTGGAGCGCCCAAGATGGCCCAAGACGGCTCCAAGAGGGCCTCAGGGAGCCCAAGATACCCTCCAAGATGGCTCAAGATAGCGCAAGATGCCTCAAGATTATCCCCATGATGTTCCCAGACGTTCCAAGAACTCTCCAAGACGGTTCCAAGTGCCCACAAGAGCATCATTAGGATGCATACAAAAGGCCAAAATGCTTCAACACCCTAGGGAAAATCAATGTTTTTGGTGTTCTCACTTTTTCGCTTGCGATGCACATCCGAGGCGTCAAGATGGCTCCAAGATGGCTCAAGATAGCTCCAAGACGGGCCCAAGAAAGCCCCATGACGGCGCCAAGAGCGCCGAAGAGCGCTCCCCGAGCGGTCCCGGAGCGGTACAGGAGACGATTTTTGGAGTTCCTGGGGGGGGGGCTTTAATTAAGGAACCCTACTTCCTTGACCGATGTCCTCCAAGATTGCCCCAAGAGCGCCCCAGCAGGGCCTTCAAGGGCGCCCAGACGGGTCCAAGAGGAGCCCAAGCCTCCCAAAATAGCTTCCCAAGAAGTCCCACCAGCCCTCTGGGCGTCGGTGGTTTAGAGCGTTTCCTCTTCCACCCCTCCTTCTTCCCCTTCGGGGAGGGGTTTACCCCTCCCCCTACCCCCTCCCCACTGACCTGGACAGGGGGGGCCGCGGGTAGTTAGAGCGTCCAAGAACGACCCCCGGGAGGGCTAAAATTCGACACCCCTCACGAGGATCGTGCCCCCCAGGGGGGCGACGCTAAAAATGCTTCCCCCTTCTGCGATCGATGTCCTCCAAGAGGGCCTCAAGAGACGTCTCGGACTCTCCTCTTGCGCCCTGCGCGCGGGCGGGCGGAGCGCCGCCCGCCCGCCCGCGAGGCCCAAGAGCCCACCAAAACGTTCGAAGTTACCTCCAAGACGCCACCAGGGAAGAGGAAGAGGCGGATGGAGGAGGAGGAGGAGGAGGAGGAGGAGGCAGGAGGAGAGGAGGAGGAGGAGACGAGGAGGAGGAGGAGGAGGAGGAGGCAGGAGGAGGAGGAGGTTTTTTTTTTTGTTCTGCCGTGGAGGAAGGAGGAGGGGAGGAGAGAGGAGGAGGAGGAGGAGGAGGAGCGCAGCGAAGGGAGGAGGAGGAGAAGGCGGAGGAGAAGGAGGAAGAGGGGGAGGAGAACAGCTGCCGATCATCGGCGCTCTTCGTTCGAGTGCCTGGTGTAGGATGGGCTGGTGGGGATACGCGAAGCGTCAAGAATTCGGCACACCCCTCACACGTTTCGTGGCCCCATAGGGAGCTCCGCCGAAGGCCCCAGCGCTGCCGCCCGCATGCGTCACGCACACCCAATTCGGCACACCCCTCACACGTTTCGTGGCCCCATAGGAAGCTCTACCGAAGGCCCCAGCGCTGCCGCCCGCATGCGTCACGCACACCCAATTCGGCACACCCCTCACACGTTTCGTGGCCCCATAGGGAGCTCCGCCGAAGTTCCCAGTGCTGCCGCCCGCGTGCGCCACGCGCACCCAATTCGGCACACCCCTCACACGTTTCGTGGCCCCATAGGGAGCTCCGCCGGAGGCCCCTGTGCTGCCGCCCGCAGGCGTCACGCACACCCAATTCTGCACACCCCTCACACGTTTCGTGGCCCCATAGGGAGCTCCGCCGAAGGCCCCAGTGCTGCCGCCCGCATGCGTCACGCACACCCAATTCGGCACACCCCTTACACGTTTCATGGCCCCATAGGGAGCTCCGCCGAAGGCACCAGTGCTGCCGCCCGCATGCGTCACGCACACCCAATTCGGCACACCCTACACGTTTCGTGGCCCCGTCCGCCGAAGGCCAGTGGCCCCATGCGTCAGGGACGTGCGTGGCCCCGCCGAAGGCCCCAGTGCTGCCGCCCGCATGCGTCACGCACACCCAATTCGGCACACCCCTCACACGTTTCGTGGCCTCAAAGGGAGCTCCACCGAAGGTCCCGTTGGGTGTGCCTGCATGCGTCCCGCACATTCATTTCGGCACACCCCTCACACGGTTCGTGGCCCCATATGGAGCTCTAACGAAGGCCCCAGTGCTGCCGCCCGCATGCGTCCCGCACACCAATTTCGGCACACCCCTCACGCGTTCCGTGGCCTCATAGGGAGCTCCGCCGAAGGTCCCAGTGGGTGTGCCCGCATGCGTCCCGCACACCCACTTCGGCATGCTCTTCACACGTTTCGTGGCCCCATAGGGAGCTCCACCGAAGGCCCCAGTGGGTGTGCCCGCATGCGTCCTGCACACCCATCTCGGCACACCCCTCACGCGTTTCGTGACCCCTCACACGTCTCGTGGCCCCATAGGGAGCTCCACCGAAGGCTCCAGTGGGTGTGCCCGCATGCGTCCCGCACACCCATGTCGGCACACCCCTCGCATGTTTCGTGGCCCCGTAGGGGGCTCCACCGAAGGTCCCAGTGGGTGTGCCCGCATGCGTCCCGCACACCCATGTCGGCACACCCCTCACACATTTCGTGGCCCCATAGGGAGCGCCACAGAAGAAGATATTCACAATTGCGGTATTCACAATTGCATATGGTTGGGTCCTTCGCCAGGGTAATTTGACTTTTTTGTTTTTTCGCTCAAAGGCCGCCTGTAGGGGGACATGCCCGACCTAAAACTCGTCCCTGTCCCTCAGGCTGACAAGGTAACGGCAGGGATAATCTCAGGGATGCGCCCTCAGGAGCTGAAGAGTTCTTGAGATTGGTATCGAGATGAGGCCATGCCGTTCCTGGGGATCGGGACCCAGACCCTCGACGTCGCGATTTTTTTCGCAGCGTCGACCCCCAGAGGTCTGGACTCCTTCACCAGGACTGGTTTTTCATCCTGAGTAGTTTCTTAACGGTCCCGAGGCCCGGGAAGGGCCTCTGGAGGCCGAAAATAGTGAAAACCTCCTGTCGCGATTTTTTCTCAACGCGAGGAGGCCTCGGACTGAAGAATCCTTGAGATTGGCATCGAGATGAGGCGATTCCGTTCATGGGGATCGGGGTGCGTTCCAGGCTTGTAAGCATCAGCAGGGGAAAAGCACGCAGACATAATGAATCGTCGGGACCCAGGGAAAATGTGCGAAGATATGGGATAGGGGGGGAAGACGACAACCCAGTAAATATGTGACTACATAGGGAATCCTGGGCTTTGTGCGTATTTATTTGTGTGCCCTCGGGCCCCTTTCAAGCAGGAGGCCGTTGCGGAGGGGCGGGCGGCGCGCGGCGCCCGCCCGGCGGGTGGCCGAGCAGGCGGCGCAGCAGTGGCGGGCGGAGGCCCCGGCGCCGTCGATCCGATAAGGCCTTGCTGCAGCCTCTGGCTTCTGCCCTCGAGCTCGGGCTCTGGGGCCCGCTTTCGGGCCCCGGGGGGGCCCTCCTCCTCTCCCCCCTCCTCCTCCTCCCCCCCTCCTCCCCTCCTCCCCTCCTCCTCCTCCTCCTCCTCCTCCTCCTCCTCCTCCTCCTCCTCCTCCTCCTCCTCCTCCTCCCCCTCCTCCTCCTCCTCCTCCTCCTCCTTCTCCTCCTCCTCCTCCTGTGGATCCGGGGCGAGAAGCGGCCCCCAGGGAAGCGGTCGGCCGACCCAGCAGGGCGGGCGCTTCGCGTCGTTCTCGGGCTCTGGGGGGCCTCGGCGGCCCCACGGGTTGCGGAACAGCGGCTCCGCACGAGGAGCCAGCCCCTGGGAAGGGGCCTCGGGCTCCCGGGGGCCCCGCGCCGAGAAAGCCAGGGCATCGGATGTCTTGGGGGTCGCGGCCTTGTCATCGGAGTCGCGGCCCCGTCGGCAGAAGGAGGAGGAGGAGGAGGTGGAGGAGGAGGAGGAGGAGGAGGAGGAGGAGGAGGAGGAGGAGTAGGACCAGTGTGAACCAAAGAGTCATCAACGATGTTGGAAGTAACCCTCCCTCCAAGCTCCCTCTTCATAAGCTCCTATAACGGTTCAATTCCATTGAAGGAACTGCCTCGTTGGAAGACAACCGTTTGAATATCCTCAAGCATGCCAAAACATTGCTCTCGGGAGTCAGCGCCACGGATCAACCAGACTGCTGCGTCTTGACGATCCGGAATCATACCAAAACCAGATTTTTTGGGCTTGAACACCGCGAGTCAACATATTTGTTGCGCCCGCATAATCCAGAATCTTTCCAAACAACCATTTCTGGTACGTTGATCATGGGAATCCGTGAAGCTCAAATTTTATGAACGAATGTGCGCTGCGCTAAGGCGAGAGCCACATTTTGGAAAGGAGCCGGCTTCAATCCGTGAAATTGTTGCAAATGTAAAAAAAACGTATGTGCGCGGCGCTGAGGCGAGAGGCACATTTTGAAAAGGAATCGCCTTCAATCTGTGAGGCTCTGGCAAATTTTAAAATGACTGCGCGCGGCGCTAAGGCGAGAGTCACATATTGAAAAGGAGCCGCCCTGAATCCGTGAAGCTCTTGCAATTCTTGAAACGAATCTGCGGGGCGCCAAGGCGAGAGCCACATTTTGAAAACGACCCGCCCTCGATCCGTGAAGCTGTTGTCACTCTTTTAGCTTCAGAGTCATAAGATGTGAGGAAGTCTCTTTAAACTTCAGAGTTTTTGACATGTGAGGAAGTCTCAGGCGAACCGCCCGGACCGCCCTAAAACTTTGCCTCGGGGTGCGACAGGGAGAAGTTAGTTACAGGACAAGGAATTATTGACGCTTCGCGTATCCCCACCAGCCCATCCAGAAACGATGTCCAGGCAAATTGAAGAGATCATGGAAATGGGGGAGCAACGAGAGGGACAGCCGATCCGTGCAAAGGATGAGGCGGAAGAGGAGGCCAGATGGATAGATGAGGGGGTGGCGAGGAACCGAGAGAAGGAGGGATGAGGAGAATGATGACGCTGGGTGGATGGTTGAATGCCGCTCGGATGCCTCTTGGAAGCCTTTTGGAAGCCTCTTCGGGCGTCTTGGGGGTCTCTTGGCGGTCAATGGGGGCTGCTGGGTGTCTTGGGTGCTTCGGGGGGGCCTCTTGAGGCCGCTTGGAATCCTCTTGGGGGGCTCTTGGGGGCCTGTTGGAGGCCTCTTGGGGCTTCTTAGGGGTCTCTTGGAGCTTCATGGCGGCATCTTGGAGCCTCTCGGTGGCCTCTTGGAACCATCCTGGGAGCCTCTTGGAGCCTTTCGGGGGCTTCTTGGGGCCTCATGGCGGCCTCTTGGGGCCATCTTGGGGCCATCTTGGCGCCTCTTGGGGCCTCCTGGGCGCCTCTTGGGGCCATCTTGGAGGCGATCGATCAAATAAGGGGGTGGGGTTAATTAGCCTTGCCCCCCCAAGAGGCCAACATGGGGCCAAAACCTTAGTAAAACCGATGATTTTGGCTTCCTCGCCGAGGCCGTTTTGGACGCTCTAACTACCAGCGGCCCCCCCCGTCCAGGTCCAGGGGAGGGGGTTAGGGGGAGGGGTAAACCCCTCCCCGAAGGGGGAGAAGGGAAGTGGAAGAGGAAACTCCCGGAGCCACCTACGCCCAGAGGGCTGGTGGGATTGAGGAGGAGGCGAATGAGGAGGAGGAGGAGGAGGAGGAGGAGAAGGAGGAGGAGGAGGAGGAGGAGGAGGGACGAGGAGGAGGAGGAGGAGGAGGAGGAGGAGGAGGGGGAGGAGGAGGAGGAGGAGGAAAAAGAGGAAACTGGACAACACCCGAGGGGGGAGGGGGGGCTCGGGCGCCCTGGCCGGTTCTCGGAGGTCCTCTTGCCTCGGAGTGCGTGCCCGGATTGTCCTGGGCCGCGGCCGGAGGCCCTAGCCGTGGCCCGGAAGCCGACGCCATCCCAGGCCCTGCGAGACTCGTCGAGCATCAACTGGCGGCTTTGATTTTCGGTTCTTGCGTGGTCGGCGCTACATATGGTTCATTTCGAACTTTTCGAAAAGTGTTTGATTTTTGGGGGGACCAAGAGGCCTCTTCCTGGCCACTAGGGGGCCAGGAACAATTTGAAACGAGCAGAATTAGAATTGAGCTCGATTAGAAATGAACGACGTGTACTTCAGTGCTGGCATGAGGTATTCGGCCCAGACGCAGGGGTGTCCGAAATCCGGCAGTGCCCTCACAGCATTGAAGAGCGCGTTTTCTGACGACGAGAGCCCGAACTGTCGAGCGCTTCGATTGTGAACAGCGTTTCAGTTGATTTTCGACGAGGGTTGTAGGATGAAGTACAGACCCTCCTGCGCACGGCCAGGAGGGCGCTCGCACCATGCCCAGGCCTCCGACGTCATCGTTTTTTCACAACGCCGGCTCCCAGAGGCCTTGACCCATTCCCCCGGACCGTTCTGTTCGGAGTCTTTTTCTGCCGGTCCCGAGGCCCAGAGGCCGAAAATAGGGGAATGAAGAATGACATAAGCATAAAAACTCGGAGGCCCTCGCGGATGTCTCGGATCCGCGCTGGACCCCCCTGGCTGCGCCTCCCGCCCCTGGCGCGCTCCGCGTGCCAGGGAGGGGTGTCCAGCGCCGATCCGAAAAGTCCGCGCGGACCTCCGAGTTTTTATGCTTATTTCGTTCTTCGTTTCCGAAACTAGCGAAATCCTTCCGTCGTGAGTTTTTGTTTCATGGCTCGAGGGGGTCTTGGTGGCGGGCCCCGGGGATGCTCCTGGCAAGGCGCGCTGGTGGTGTACGGGTGCCTTCTGCGTGCGTCTGGCCGAGTCCCGGCCCCGCACTGGCGGCGGGCAACAGTCGGGGGCGGCAAAGAGGGGGGTGATGACTAGGGGGGGGGATATCATGGCGTGGGCCATGATATTTCCTCAGATTTCATGGCGCCTCTGCTTATTCATTCCGTTCCTGGCCCCCCCGAGCCGCGCACGTGCCCTCGGCCATGTTTTGCGCCCCCCCTCTTGGACGCCCCCCTCTTGGCCGCCCCCGAAATAGAGGGGCCGCCCCGTTGGGACCCATATACCCAGGCCCCCGACGTCAAGATTTTGCTCCTAACGCAGGACCCCAGAGGCCTCGACCCACTCCCCGAGACCGGCTGTTCCTCCCGAGTCGTTTTGTTGACGGTCCTGGGGCCCCCAGAGACGGAAATAGTCAAACACCGGCACGCTCCGCGCCCCAGAGGCGGGACAGCGGAGCCCCCGCAGGAGGCGCCCCGCCACCGGCCTGCCCAGGGCGGCGAGAGGGGGAGCGGGCTTGGCTGGGCCTAGGTCTTGAAACAGCCGAGGCGGAACTTTTCCCGTTGTCTTCGTCCCCCTGGGGGCCCTCGCTGGTCTCCAGGGGCCCTGAGATCCTGGCGTTGCCATTTTTTCACAGCGGGCGTTTTCGCCCAGTCTCTGGCCCCAGGGAGCCTCACAGCTCGATGCGGCTCGAAAAATGACGCAGAAGATGGGGCCCAGGGCTCCAGGCGTGATTTTTCTCGATGCTGTATTTTTTTCGCAGCGACGCGCCTCAGGGGCTGTCAGAGGACGGCTCATGACGAAATGCTGGCCCGTTGAAGACGTCGGGACTTTTTGGGGCCCCGCAGTGACAAGGTCAAGACTCCAGATGCTGGGTGTTGTTGGCCAGGGTTGGCTGGAGGGCTTGCCGGGGGGGGCGGCGGCCTTCTCGAGAGGAGAATCCCCCCTCGCTCCCCGCCCCCAGGGGGGGTTGGAGGTTGTAGCACAGTGCCCGCGAACATGGCATTTGGCATCACTTGAGAGCCTCACCTGTGTTCTACAGATCTGGTCGTGTTCTTCGGTCAGGCGGTTATGTTGCCGCAGCCATCACCCGTTGCACCACCTAGCTTGCGCTTCACGTAGATGTGTGAGTACTTACCTCACAGAATGTTCAACACATCGATTACACAACACGGACGGAGTAAGATAGTTAACGCCACGCAGCTATCAACATATCAATTGCACCAAGTAGATTGCGTCACCTGATTTGACGCATTGTAGCTTGCACAAAATAGCTCGCATCAGCATGGTGAAGCACATCAGCTTCAACATATCGTGGTTTACACCACACATTTGGCATCCATGATATGATGCTATTCATTAAATAACACGTGAGCTGCAACACATAGCTTGCATTACGTAGTTTGCCCCACATCGCATACCCCACATGAGCTGATCACAGTTGTTCAAACAAGTGAGTGGCCTACGCACGCTTTTCTCAGCGCTTCTCAAAAAACATCAGTCCCTGGCGCGGCCGACCCATTTCGGTTCAACGCTTTCTAACATAGTGGAATGGTATCAACAACAACATCGTCGTGACCAACACACTCAGCAGTTCAGGATGCGCAGTGGAAGCAGGGCGCTTACGCAGGCTGCGCGCCGCCGCCGCCGCCGCTGGCCTCTTGCGCAAGACT